GAGAGAGAGAGAGAGGGAAAAGCAAGTTAACATTACATGTTTATAATCATTTGTTACTTTTATTTTGTAAATCCACAGAAAAGGGTTTCCTGTACGTTTGGGTTTGTCTCGAGCTGATTTTTGTTTTTTGTTCCATTAGGATGAGTTGGAGTGTGAATAATGGGGGGGGGGGGGCGTCAAGAAAGTGTATTGATGAATGAACAGAAACATACAAAGACGCCTGATTCGTTCTTCCTGCTTTTGTTTCGCACATTTTGGTTATTGCTTGGATGTCAAACAGTTTCCGCTGGCGAAATAATCACTCTCTTATTGTTGTTGTTCTGCACGTATTGTAGCGATAGGGGCACAATGGCAACGTGCGAGGATGTGCGCGGAGCTTTGCATAACTCTGACGAGGCGGCAAAGATTCCGTCTGAGTCCTTTTCGACCAACGCGGTGAATCGTAGTCTCTCAGATCTGCACACCCCCACCTGGTATTTACTCCTTGGTTTAAGCTCGGGTATTCGGACGGTGCTGTTGCATCCTTTGAACCTTGCTATTTCTCGTAAGCGGGTGATGCAAGAGAACACGACGATGTCGGTGGTGCACATCTTGTCCCAGGCACACCGAGGGGAGGTGAGCGCACATTCGGTCACAGCTAAAAAAGGGATTAGGGCCATTTATCGGGGATTTGGTGTCGCACTTTTTGGAAACCTTCTCGGTGAGGTAACGTACCTTCATACACTGGAGTTGGTTAGGGAGCATCTTGAGAGTTCACCTTCACTTCTAGAGAACACCGATTCCCTGCAAGGACGAGAATTCACCGCCAGTAGTCACGCAGCAGCCGCAGGTGGCGTTGCGGGTAGTTTAGCCGCCCTTCTTATTGCCACACCAATGAGTGTTGTGTGCAATCGGCAGATGACATCTGGTTATGGTATGTCCTTTAGAAATACGTATAGATCTGCATGGGCGACGGGGTGGGAAGTTTGTCAACTGCATCAACAACCTAATACATCTCGGCTTCGTCGTGGAGGTGATGCTCTGCGTGGTCTGTATGCCGGCCTTTTACCAGGCGTCGCCGCGCTCCCTGAGAGTGCGATGTGGTGGGGTTTGTACAGCAAGATGAAGGTCGTTCTCTACACACTCTTTGAGCCAGCGTTGTCGCGGTGGGAACGCGAAAAGGAGACAAATGATTCTCCTCGACCACTGTGGCGACAAAACTGGTTGTTGTCTCCCACTGACAATCCCGCGCTGAACGCCATGGCTGGCATGTGTGCCAGCGCTGTCACGACGTTAGTGTTTAATCCGTTTGACGTTCTTCACACACGGCTGCAAGCTCTACCAGTGGAGAAGAACAGTAAGGCGGAGCGTGTACCTTTTGGGCGCGTGTACCACATCGTAAATAACCTAATCCGAAGAGAGGGCTGGCGAGGATTATTTAAGGGCACGGCGGCAAACGTGAGTGTTTGTGTTTTGGATGGGGTGTTTTTCTCACTACTTTTTGAACTTACAAAACTTGGTAGCGATCGTGGATTTTTGAGTCAACTTTAAAAGAGTGTGGAGCGGAGGGAGAAAGGTGCATGGACGCCATCGCCACGCACTGTAACGCCGTGAGTATGAAGCAGGTGTGTGGCATCTCTGCCACATTTTTCACAGCAGCAGCGGGAAACCAAAAAAAAAAAAAAGTGGGGGAGGGGGCTGGTAACGCGCATTGAGTGCTGTTTGCAGACTGAGGAGGCAACATTCACGCCTTGGCGGTGGCACTATTGCTTATCCTTCTGAGTGGCCCTATTTGGCTTTCGATAATTTGCATGCAGCTACGCATAAAAAAATAATAAGAGAAAAAGGAGCAGTCTGGGACTGCACTTACACAGACACTCATTTGGTGCTTCATGTGTTCTACCATCGGTTTTTTTTTAAAAAAAAAGGAAAAATAAAATAAAATAAAATTGAAAGACATAATGTTTTTTGCTCACGTATATTGAGTCGTCGTATGTGGGCTCAACTTACGACACTCACCAACCGTGTGACGGCAGTCCGCTCCCTCCATGGCCGAGAGCGTGGGGTTCATTGCAGTTGTGGTTTCCACATTGCAAAGATGCAATTTGAATCACTTTTTGATTAGTTTCCTTTTCTTGGGCATGTGTGTATGTTGCCTTGTCTGTGGAAGCAAGTGAGTGGTGGTGGTGTGGTGTGGGGGGGATTCATGCATGTCGGGTCATCCTCACCGATTTTATCTTGTTGTTTTCATTTGCATCTTTGCGTCTAACGCTAATTGTGATTTTGCATCCTGTCTTTCTCTGCCTTTTTTTTCCTTTGCTATGTCTTTTCCTTCCATCACAGTGGAGAAGCAGCAGTAAATACGCACGCGCATAGAGTGAGAGTGGTGGTAAGGACGCGAAGATGGCGGTGACTGGCGGTGCGGACATTGAGGAGCTCGTCAAGCGGATCACAGACCACCCCGGCGTGCGGGGGCTGATCATTGTGAACACGGACGGCATCCCCATTCGCCACACCTTCCAGGAACATTCCCGGCCCCTTGCCGTGCAGTACAGCGCGCTATTCCAGAGTCTGGCGATGAAGGCCCGAAGTGCCGTGATCGAACTAGACAACAACAACGACCTGCTCTTCATCCGTGTGCGCTCAAAGAAGCACGAGGTGCTTGTGGCTCCCGACACAAAGTACCTTCTAATCGTCATTCAACAGGTACGGAGTGAGGGTGACTTACCCATCGGACAGGAGAAGACGGTGTAAGAGGCGGGTGGCAGCAGGGAAGATCGTCTGAGTGAAACGAAAAAAAAAATCAGAGAAAGAATGAGCATGCAAACGAGAGAGGCACTCGATAAAGATGGGAACGGCATGACAGCATGTGTTTTTCTTCAGTTGTGTTTGCTACATTCTTTTTTTTTTTTTGGCACTGTATTTTTCTTGTTGTTTTCTTTGGCGTCGTCGCTCTTCTTCCTGTGCTATTTCTTTCTCTCCTCGACGTTTACGATGTACGTACATGTGTGGCGCCTGTGGGGAGTGTCTACCACCCACTCACTCACACAAACACGAACAAACACACACACACACACAAATAGAAATATTATTTGTTTTTGATTTTATCTTTCGCTCGTGATTGTTTCTAAGTCTGTACTCTGTGCTGGGGAAAGGAAACTTTTCATCTCTCTATTTTGTTCCTACTTTATACTTCTTACTTCTCGCTTGTATGCGCGTGCTTAGTGGCATTGCTCTGTCCACCTTCGCTGTGGAAAGGAGGTGCCATTGCCTGTGGCTCATTACTCCGGTAGCGCAGGGGAGGGGAGGTTTGCACGTCGCAAGAACAGAGAACAGGGGCTAAAGTTCACATGGAGGTTGGTAGCTATCAGGAAATGATTGCAGCGGCTAAGCAGAGCCTGAGCTTGGTGAGTTTCCGTGCAAACGCCGCAGGGGCGGAGCAGGAGCGCAAGGAGGCTCTGCTGCGACAACTACGGACAACATTGGATGAAAGGCAGAGAGAAAAGGAATGCGTACAGCACCGCACATGCGAGATAAGTGCCGATACGGCCACTATCTTAAACAAATTGCGTGCAATCGAGGAGCTTGATATGCTAGACAGTATGCTAGTGGAGAAAAACAAGCAATTGTACCAGCAGCAGTACAGACATGACACTCTACTCCAGCAGTTAGCAAATATTGAGACCATCTTAGACGAGGCGTCTCTGGAGGGGAAATTGGCGGGGAGCACAATTGAGGCACAATCTGCACAGTGCGTCTCTTGTTGTGAGCATCTGCGTCGCTGCATTGCCGCGGCAGATCGTTACTGTGATCGCCATACCTCTCACGTGCTCAGTCATCCCGTCTCAGTCATTCACAAGAGTATCCGTAATATGTGTCGGATGGTTCGAGAGCGAGACGAGCGACTCATCATTCAGCTTGAGGACGTAGACACACAACAGCAACACGCAGCATCACTGGACCATTGCTTTCAAAAAATGGAGGCCACCTATACGTGCGAGATGGAAGAGCTGAGGCGCAGCAATCAGGATATGATACAAGCAATAACGCAGTCAGGGGAAGCGGAGATAAAAAGCTTACGCGAGGGTCTCCAAAGAGCGGTAGAAGCACGCCAACATCTTTTGCGCCGTTTAAAGGACGAACGACGTCTTCCAGTGGAGGGGGAATTACCTCCGCTACTTGTAGAAATGTGCAGTGCTGAGGATGACAGTTGTGAGGGTGTAGGCAGCTCACCGCTGAGGTCGGTGCCAATACTCGGATTTTTTCACCCCGTTGGCCCCACGCCAAGGAGTACGACAGCTGTTGTTATGAGTTCACGTAACACAAATAACAACGATGAAGGCGAGAATGTCACCAGGAATGATGCAGATGGTACTGAGAACGCCGCCAGTGTGAGGAATATCCCCGCTGTGTTGTGTGCAAGCAAGCTCAGAGGCTCGTCCCTCTGCCACGGTGTGGGTCCAACACAGGACGTAATTGACTCGGAGATGGAGGAGCTTGAGTACCGGGCTGTCGCTGCTGAGAGAGATGTCGACCGGATGCAGCAGCGGTACGAAACGTTGGAGGAAGAGGCTGAACTAATTCGACACGAGTATGCAAAGAAACAAAAGGTGTTAGAGGAAAAGCTGTCTAGGGCGCAAGAGGCGGTGTCTGTCCTTGCGAGGGAAAAGTCTGAGTGGCAGGCACTGCATCAGCAGATGTCACACTTGATTTCTTAGAACAGGACGACATGTGGTTACATAAAAATGGCACAACAGCAACGAAGGCATTTTTTTTTTTTTTTAAGAAGGTACAATTTGACAAGTGTGCTTATATATATATATATATATATATATTGTTTCTATTTATTC